AGTAGGCAACCAAGTGCTTTATAGCTTTTGCCACCTTTCAGACAGAAGTCCCCGACAAAGTGCTGCCTACTGATCCGTGCAGAAAGACCTGGGTGCTGCACCTCCATAAAAGATGCAAAGCAAGGAAAAAAAATCAAGGACGTGACAGGATGTGACACTGGAGGCGAAGTGCGGATTCTCTGAAGGCTTTTAAACAAAGCTGAAGTATTCTGAACCAGGCTAGCATAAGGTAGAAACAAACACAAATGAGGGCAATAAGCCTATCTCAGGCTTTTCTTCACTGAAATTCAGATTAATCACTGAGCATTTGCATGCAAGCTTGGAAACAGAAGTAAAACTCTAGTTCTTTTACAGCTAGGCTGAGATATTGCTGTGTAAGCAAATACCACGCAGCTGAAGGAGAAGTGGAATGGAAATAGCTTTTGGCCGCCACCTCAGGTCTCTGGTGTACACCAAAAGACAAGGAGACAGAAGAGCTCAAGGATCACTTTAAACTGTGCAAGCTTATAATCATCTCTGAAGACCTATAACATAGCAATCTGGAGCAATTCTTTCTGACCCTGACATGAAGGATGCCAAAAGGAGGAGAGTCGAGCTAGCTGCTCCTGCCAGCTTTGTGTCACGTGAGAAGAGCGCGGGCCGAGGAATGCCTGGGAGGTCAAGGATTTGACCCCCTTCTGTGGTCTGGGTGCGTTTCAAAGTGCTTGCAAGAATGAGGTATTTTGGGAGAGCCCTCATGCTAAAATTAAATTTCTTGGAGTGGGGGCAGCCTGGGCAGCCGTAGGGATCACACACTAAAACCATGCTTTTCCACTTCACTCAGGGTTATGATTTCAATAAGGTCTTAAGTAGAATACAGCTAAAACATAAAGTGCTTGCTTTTCTGATTAGTTTGGTGAATTCAGCTGAGTTAGGAACAGATATCATCCAAACTAGCAGCGTCTGATTAACCGCACAAGTTGTAATGGTGACATATGGCTTACGCAGAGAACTAAAGATTTAATAGACTTCCACAGAGCTGGAACCACCTTTTCATTTTAGACTTAGTTCTTCAGAAAAGCCCCAGGGAAGCCTGAACGCTGCCAGCACCTACCACTTTGTATGCCAACACACTGCTTGGGACTGTGCTGAGGCACTACAAATCTGGTAACTTTCATGGGTGGTAATTTAAAAAAAAAAAAAAAAACACAACATCTTTTACTTTGCAGTCATGCTGGAGTTTCTACGCTATACTGATATTGCTCAACTGACTCCCTGGTGGCTAGAAGAGATTTTGTCAAAGAACACAAATACTGCTTTTTCTGCTACTATGTGTGCTGCTACATTTAACAATAGCTAATAGCACTGCTCTGATTCCAGTCTTATTCCAATGTTAATCTCGGGTACTGGTACAGAAGTTCTCCAGCATCTCGTTTGCATTAGTGGATTCAGAATTAGGCTCAGCTAGGTATGCTGCTAAACAGTTTTCTAGGGTATCGACTAGCCCAGACTTAAATATGTTTATTTTTAATATTACAGTATCATGCAGAAATAAAATAAATTGCGTTATGAAATTAGCAGCTGCATTGCAAATAACCTACAGAAATAAGTGATGACCTCATTTACTAATGACCCGTGAGAAATAAAACTCCATATGCATGTTGTTTCTTAGCTACTGTTCTAGGAAGCCGCACAATCTGTTAACTGAACACATTAAATACCTAATTAAATTAAATCTCTCACAAGTCTGAGAAAAACCTATCGAGAGCACTCTGCTTGATTACGGGCATTGGGCTAAAGTAACGCACCTATTGATCTGGTCAACTACAGCTTATTCTCTTTACCCAATTCAATTTAAGAACAATAACTAAATTTTAGTCGGCTCTCCTTCCCCACTCTCCAGGGAAATAATCTGAAGTGACTCTGAGTTCAGGTGGCATATAGAAAATATTTAATAGGTCAAATAAAACATTTATTTTGTTGCAACTATGGACACAAAGTTACATTACAAGTGCAAATATGGTTTCCAGTACACCAATTACACAGTATTGCTGACAGTCACAGGTCACGAGCAGACTTCTCTGGTGGGGAAAATAAACCAGTTGCTCTGCAAGTTAAGGACGATATTAAAAACTGTGTATTTCAATAAAGTCCTTTATAAATGCAAAATAAATGAAAAAGAAAAAAACTGCCAGTTGTGTCTCAGTACAGTCTATTTGATCTTGTGATGCTCCGTGCCAGTCCAACATTAGTTATTCACTCACCGGCAGGTTATGGCAAGACACATCTATCCATTCTATCCAAAAAGAGTTCCCTTAATTAAAAAAGAATGAACGTACATTACGTAACTGTCCTGTTTTGTAGGACAGACAGCTCACCATCTTTACAGAGCAATTCAAGACCTAGCGTCTCTAGGGTCACGGATCTGAACGAAATTCACACTGCTGCTCTCATCTGGCAATTCTTCTAGCCACTGACACGAAACACACTGATGATCTCAATTCTCTTTTCACCAGAGTTGCTTCCATAAATGAGACACGTCAGTAACGCGTGCAGCATCCATGTTAGCAGCTCCAGCAAAGCTGCCAACAACTACTAGATCAACGTGATTAACATACTCCTAGGCCCCTGCCTGCACTAAGGAAATTGTATACATATTTCATAGCATAACCAGCGCTTGTGTGGCTCCACAAATGCTGCTGCTGGGAATTCCACTGGAAATTCTAATGCAAAGTCACCAGTCCAAGCACTATCCACGTACATAGGACTAGATGGCATTTTCTTCATCATCTAACCCAATCCTCTGCTATGGCAGGCAAGCAGACAAAACAGTACAGTTTTGGAGAGATACTACAGCTAGCTCAAGGAATAGTGCAGCTGTATGAAATGGGCCAATTAAAGGTAGGGTTTTTCGCTTTCCTTCGGATACAATCCTAATGTAACAATCCTGGGTTTGATGGGTATCTCTACATCATCTTTTAATATTAATCAAACATATCTTTAATTATTTTTAAATTCCATTTTAGAATTAGTTAGGCATTAACATTAGGCCTTACTGTTGCTTCAAAACTGCAATTGTCTGGTCTGTTAGAAACTTTATAGGCTAACTTCTAATCTAATGTAGTCACAGATAGTATATATTAATCTGTTCTTGCTCCAGTTTTGTCCCTAAGCTTGAATAGCCATTTTCTCCCATTCTGGTTTGCTTTCTCCAGTATTCATAAAGAAAAATCAAACTTGTATTCAGATTTTGTTTTGTCGGGTTAAACATAACCATCCCTTTTGGTCGCTTCTCCAAGTATGTGGCCCATTTCTCGGACCATCTTCTATATCTTTTGTTGTCAATTCAAAATGAACTCTTTTGAGCACAAGAGATAAGAACTACATACAACATTCCAGATCAGATCTCACCACTAATTTATATGAACTGCAATAGTCTTTCCTATCTTTACTGGAAACACCTTATCTGGTACATCATACGATTGTGTTTGCCACCATGCATCAACGGTTCGGTCATCCTGATACCTGAGGGAAA